AAAAAATTACATATATTATACATTTTATATATTAAAAAACCCATTAAAAATTTAGAAACACTCTACATACATTTTAACATGGAGCATGCTCAAACTTGTGCCTCCTCCACAATGGGCAAGGTTACAAACCAGTTGATCCACCGCGCCTGTTTTGTCAAAGTACTACACAACATTATATTTTTTTGATTTGAATTGACCCAGTGGTTTAAACCAGCTAAACCAAAAACCAGAAGTCAAAATGGTTTGACCTTCGAATCGGTTTTTAAAACACTGATTGGCCCCTTTGATACCATGGTTGTTTCTAATTTTTATTAGTTTTGTAAGTCTAAAATTAAAATATAAATGATCGATTAAAACACAAATAAGTTTAAATGAATAGCGTGAGTTACGATATGAAAAAAATAAAAATAAAAAATTGCTTCCTTTTCTACATTTCAAGATTTTCTTTAGTAAAAAAACACACAAAGGTAAGTTTCGAAAATTTTGCACCATACAAATTGTCTATTTAAATTTAAATTTTGAATTTTAACTTTTAATTTTAGTTAGTATTAATTTTTACAGCCCAAATTATAAACTACAGTAAAAATAATTAAATAACAATTAGTATATTACTAATGAAATCCCATTAACAATAAAAAAAAAAAAAACAATTAGTGTATTACTAGTTACTAGTACTAAAAATGAGCCTTTGTTATTGATCCTTTTTATTATTATTTTTTTATTTCCTTTCATTTGAAAATAGAATTCTTTTCTTTTTGGCTTTCTACTGTCCCAAACACGGCACAAACGTGGCAACGATGTCGGTCTTTGGACGAGACCCACCCATGAGACACAGCGATGACACGCTTTTCCCGCTGCCCATACCGCTGTTCTATGTATAAATTCCACACGACTGCTTTCTACAATTGCCACAACCGTCATTCCTCAGGTTGCGGTGCACCCCACATGGCTGCTGTCGGTGGACTCTTTCGATCCATCGTCTACGTAGGGTGCATCTCCGGCTGCAACTCTGAAATCGAGAACCGTCCCTACCACCGCAGTTGCGGCTGCGCGCTTCACAGCAAATCTCGCGGCAGGAACTATCCTCACGCATCTCCCAAATCCACCAACGTATCGTATCCCATAAGAAGGTCGAAGAGTGAGGGGTGGGTCGCCATGACAGTTGCTTGCCGCGCGTTCTAATACTTCACCGTCGCCGGTGGCTGCAGGGAGACCCCATCTTAGATTCAGCATCGGAGATCAGGAAGAATCGTCTCACCATTCGATTTGACGAACTAAATAAATAAACCAGATTTTTGATCGGCCGGGTTGGAGGGAATAAAATTTTTTTAATTCAAAGGGTTTGTCGTGGGAACATTTTAAGATTTGATATGCGTAATAAGGTGTTCATATATAAATATAAATAATCCTTCGTTTGGAGTATAGTTTTTTTTTTAATTTAGATGTACTATTGTGGTTTTTATCACCGAAGACAGTACTTAATTATGTTGCATTGCAAAAATTTAAACATGATTTCTATCTAAAATTAAGATAATTTTGAATTTAACTGGTTAAATTCTCTTTATTTAATTTATCTGTAGCTTGTTGGGATTTATTGGATCCACACAATTAAGGAATATAAAGTGTTTCAACAAATACTCATTATTATTTCAGAAATGTAATCCGCATAGCCAAGTAAGTTTGCTTGAGGAAAAGAAACTCATAGCTAAAAAAAAATTGTTTAAAAGTAAATTTTTTTTCTTCATAAATTTAAAAATTTGTTGAAGAAAAATTCAAAAAACAGCTTTCAAAATAACTTTTAAACAAGTTTGGAAAAAATTATACATTCAAACCTTTTCAAATTTTGTTTAAAACTAGGGAAAACCCTATATTAAATCTTCAAATTTATCCTAAATTCTTGATTAAATCCTTAAACTTTTATTGAAGTAAATAAATCTACCAACTTGGTAATTTGGTAATTTAATCATTCATTTTTATGGTAAATTGAATGTTAATTTACATATATCACTTACGTGGATAAAATTTTGACATATCATTACCTATGTAATAGGCATTGACCTTGTTCACGTAAGAAAGACACAAATGAGTATTAAGTTTGCAGTAAGGAAGATTGTTAAATTACCCAAATTAACAAATTTAAGAATTTATTTGCTTTAATAAAAGTCTAAGGGCTTAATTGAGAAATTTAAGAACTTAACATTGGGTTTTGCTAAAAAAACTACTTTAAAATCAATTTTTGAATTTTATTCTAACAAAATTTTAAATTTGTCAAAAAATTATTTACTTTTAAAGAAAATATTTTTTAAGTTCCACTAAACAAATTTATAGTAATCTTTTAAATCTTAAAGGTGTGTTT